AATAAATAAAAAGTTTTAAATATGTAATTCTTTTGTTATAAAATTTGAATTTTTTTTATTTTATATAAACCATTTATAATATATATTTGAAAGTAAAATGATATACAAGATGAACGATTTATCATAAAACAACCTTATAATTTAAAGAAGTGTCAACTTTTTCAAATGGCAACATACATATTTAACTAGCTTATAAATTAAGAAATAATCTAATTAAGAATATGACTGGTCGATAAAAACTTTTTTGAAGTTATTAATAATTGAAACTAATGACTAGAGGTGAGTAGTGGGTGTTACTATTCTTATCATTAATCATTTTCCGGTCTTACTTTTCGTCCCGCCTATATATAATAATGAAAATAACTTCCAAAAGTATTAGACTAAAAGATGTTATCGATCATTCATTTTCATATTTATATTACTTTTTATTTTATAAATTAGTTAAATATGTATGTTGCCATTTAAAAAACTAATACAAACACAATTTTTGTTTTGCTGTTATTATTCATATCAAAAAAATTAAAAACTGCAATCCATATTCTTTTTTTTAATTATTAATTTTGGGCAATAATAGCAATATTATTTCATAAATTTCACTAGTTAAAATGATAATTTACAGTCCATTTATTCTTTGGTTGGCTCTAAAATATCTTTCGTATGTTATGCGATATAACTACAAATTATGTGCTTTATTTAACTATTATCTTCGAATTTCTTCTACTAGATGAAATCCTTTCTTTGTGATAAACATACTATTTGGTATGATTTTCTAAAATGAAAAAACACGTATTCAACGGTCTGGTAAATGTAAGAGATGTTTAAATTTATATTTAATTCGGTTAAAACACGTATAACTTTCAAGTGCAAAGAGCCGTGCACGATTCTCTTAATAGATATAGTTATACCTTACTATGTACTATTTTGCAGCAACTATGCAATTTTTAGAGTTTTTTTTTTTTAATGAAAATTCACCTGTAATTAAAAATTAGTCAAAATGTAAATACTAAGGTACTGTAAAATACTCAACATTTTTACTCGAGCTCAATTACTGTCTACTGGGCTTATGATCCATAATTTCTTGTTCGATAACTTTTTTTGATTATTTTATAGAGTTTTACTTATTTTTTAATTTTGCTGTTTAATATTAATCAACTACATTACAATGTTTACTTTTATGTTGTAAAACTAATGTGTATTTTAACTTATGTTTTGTACTATCAAACTAACTGATGTTAAAAATTTTAAAATAAATTATCGAAAAAAAACATTTGTTACTTATATCTTAGAAAGTAAAAAATAACATTTGGACAAACGTCCCGTTACTGATGAATCCGAATAATAAATAACAGTAGATATATTACAACAACCCAGATTCACAAAATAATAATCATTTATAAACTAAATAAACGCGAATAAAGATTTATGTTCGAAAACTAAGTAGGATGAATGTTATAAATAAATATTTATTGTAAAACTGAAGCAGCCGTGACCTATGCGTAAGACCCTTTGTCGACTTCCGTTTGTACCGTTTACTCAGATACCTAGTAGATCAATAATAATGTGATTCATAGTGGTATTAATTATTATTTTCCATTAATTATCATGACGCGTTCTTGGTAAAAGGAAATTCACTGTAGATTAATTGTGGAATCATAAATTTACAGTTTGGAGGAGAGAAAGCTATTTGAACTACACAATCATGATGCTTTGTCGATGCACTTGCATTAGGATAGTCGGTGTTTTTGATTTGTTTTATGTTATTTTATTTTAATTACACCCGACTCATGAATTATAGGAATGAATGAGTATGGCGCAAACGAATGTGTTATATTATTATTGTACACCATAATGCGATTGCCGTCCCGCAGTGGTCGTATGTATTGGATGGCCTGAGTCCGACATGTAGGACGATCAAGTACCAGCCGCGACAGCTGCCTTGTTCATTATGTCTGTAGCTTATTATTGTTATTAACACACGGATACATCGGAAGCCGACGAGTGTGGTTACATAAGGAAGAAACGTGAAGGTGATGATGGCCGTGACCCGGTTTTGTCGATTCAAATAAAAAAAGTATGATATTATAATATTGTAAAAGTAAAGAACAACAGTATGAGACGAATTGATCCAGGCGTTAAATAAGGATTGACGTCGCAATGCGTCATTATCGATTTCAGCTGCTCTGGCTTAAGTGCATTATTCTGCAAAATATCTAGAGACCGAGTCACGAATATCAGATATGTAGCCCAACGAGAGTGAGAGGATACACCCGAGTATATGCTTTAATGAGCGGCATTGTACAACAGGTCGTGAACCAGAATTTAGTAAAAATAACCGCAAAGGGAAAATAATTTATCGATTTGAAACTTCAGATCACATTGAATTTCAAAACTGGCTTAGCGCTTAGTGCAATCAGCGTACAAAGATATATATATATATATGTAATTTTTTTTTTTATTTAATATAGATCATACGACAATATAATCAGCATAACCAAAAAAAAATTTCAACATTTTTATTATGTTGGTATAATTTTGTTATTGTATCGTACTTATAACTTTTTGATTACTAATCACCATAAATATAGTGATCATTGTATTACTCAGATGGCGTAGGCAATTCAATTAGTGTATACTAATAAGAGTACCGGATGAATCGTAAATTTTAAGTATAACAATAATGTTCCACGAGTGTTCTTAAAGAATTTAAATCCATATATTTCTAATCAGTTTTCTTAAGTGAAAGTATGTGTAAAGTTTGATGAGAATACTGTAGTTTTATTGTTCATTATTAATTAAATTGAAATGAGTACTTTTCTGATTACTAGCAAAATTTTAACATGGACTATAAATAAAGTTGTGAAAGTAAAATAGTTTGATTGTAGCTATAAAAGAATTCGCTTTAAAAATTATGTTTTCTTACAATGATATTAAATTAAAGAAAATAAATTACAGTTTTAATTAAATCTAAAAGAATTTATTTTATTATATTTATATTAAAAATTGAGGAACTGTAAAATTATCAAAATTAAATCAATCTTGAAATTAGAATTTTTCATGAACCAAAATTTTTTATGACAATTGTCGATTGAGTCTAATTGTTTTAATAGACGCTATAATTGTTTTTAATCAAAATTAATTGATTTTTTTATCATTACAATAGTAAATAATAATTACGTACTTATACTAAATATTTATAATAACATGTCCGGTTTTTTTTTTTTCTATTGTTACAATTCTAAATTGATCACACATATTCTTTAATTAACTTTAAATGATTCTCACACACCCTCCGCATAAAGAAAATATACCTAATGTAACAAACCTATTTCTGTTTTTCTTATTATGTTTTATCACTTCCTAGAAATACAAAACTTCATGATCCTCTAACGAATATCGTTCTACGATGAGTAATTCTTTATATTCTTAAGTAATTTTTGTAACACTACGTTATCACATATAATATTAATATAAAATATGATGTTATTATTTCTAAATATAAACATACAAATAAAAATATACATAATATATAATAACTATACAAAATTATCAATCAGAGTTCCCTTCTATAAAATACAAAATAATTAATTGATCATTGGATAAAATGTAATTATTGTCTAATTATTTATCTAATTATTATACAGATTTTTAAATAACAGCTACGAGCTGGACTTCCATTACAAATAATCAGTTTGATTTAAAATTCTTAATTTCCAAGATCACTCTAAGCATAGCTAAACTACCTTTTTCTGATTATAAACTGTCATTTTTACTATTAAAACCAGTTCAATTGGTAATTTAAAAATATATAAAATCTGCGATACCCTACTCAAGAATCTAACTCTCTGGGATTTTGTTATTTTTTTAATTTAATATAGAATATTTTTTAACTTAAAAACAATTAAAAATTTCAAAGAGAATTTTTTAATTGATATTTTTATTTTCTCACCATAGAAATAAATGTTACTTAATATTTTAAGCATCAAACATTATATTTATATATTTATTAAATGGTAAAAATTTACTGTGAATTTTTCTAGTAGTAGTTGCTTTACGATATTGATTCACTATGATTCAGTCATTAATTGAGTTAGTCACGCTTTGTTTGCAATGGAGACGTTATTCCTCGTCTGACGTACTCGATATTATGTACGTAATATATTACTATATAGTATATTATATTTATTACCAGATTCATCATCGATAAAGTTTTTTAACCAAAGAAAAAATTTCTAATCCAGAGATGACCACCCAAAATGATTGTTTGTCATACCAGGTGTCATAAGATAATATAAGTTGATAAGATTCATTTATGACTTTGCTCCATTGAAAATATGATGTAAAATAAACGCTAAACATTAGTATATTTTTTTAAACGAAATCTAACTTTAAACTGATTTAAATTATTGTTTAAATTTAGCACAACATCAGTTATTTTTAAGAGAAAAACGATGGGAAATATCGTGTATGCAATACGATTCCGAAATGACTAATTCAGAAAAACTTTACAATTGTCTGTAACTTATTTTATTTTTTCAGAATTGATTAAACCGTTTATTTCACAAAAAATATTTAACTTATTAAAAAATAATGATTTAATTATGAAAATGATTGACAAATTAATGAATTTAACGTTAACAAATTTCGGACCAATATTTTAGAAGTTACCAGAATAAGTCCATTGCATGATGTAAAAAGATGATGCAATGTAATATTTTGAGATTTTTAGGTCGACCGTAAAATATATATAAATCAAATTTTCAGAAAATTTTAATATATAAAGTTATGTTTAGTCGTATTAGACCTCACACTACACCTATAGTATTTACAAATTCATTAAACTTTTCTGTGAGTACAGCCAATATATAAATGAATCATTCACCGTTTATATTTATATTTTTTAATAATAATTTAAACACTTTTAAATAATTTCTAATGTTTTGCTTAAAAATATATTATAATTAAAAATAATCATATGATTATTTTTGAATAATCATTTATATTGTTGATAATAAAACATTAATTTTGAATAATATTAATAACATTAAAACGTTCAATGAATTTCTATTTATATTGAAATTAAAGGCTCTTCATCTTATGATTTAAATTCCAATTCTAAATTCATAAAATAAACATATATAAGCCATTGAATTTATATTTTAATTAATATATTATTATTATAAATACCTAGTTTTATTAGTTCCATTGTTGTTGGTATAAATGTTTCTTCGGTAATAGGATCAAATTTAAATCCGAGGTGAAAATACTTTTCTATAATTACTGCTCTTGTATAATCCGTAATTTTTTTGTTTAAGAATTTGATAAATAATAATTTTACATCTTGGTCAATAAGGGCTTTATATTCCTTAGACCATTCTTCCCATAAATAATTCGTATCATAAGATACAAATTTACAATAACCTATAGTTTCACTTTTTACTTCACGCATTGCTTTATTAAATAATAAATGTATAGTTTTTAACTTGGAATAGTATGTAGATAAATCATCACGTGATAGCGTTCCTTTATTTAAGTCGTCAAGAATATTTTCTATTTTCCCTAATAAAGGATTTATCAAAAAATAAGGGTTACCACTAATAATCCATGGTCTGTTATGTAATAAATCCAAAGCGTCCATAGCTCCTTTCATCATTGTTGCTATTGGAGCAATTAATCTGGATATTATTCTTATGAGTTCTTCTGTGCAAATGAATCCATCTATTAAGACTTCTTCTTCTCTAATTCTTTCGTCACATTTTTTTGTAGCCATGCTTATAATAAAAAAAAGATAATTCATAATTTTTGCGTATGAGCATCCAAGATATACAGACAGAGCACGTATTTTTTTATCACCATGTGAGACATGTGTAGGTATTTCAATCAGATTTTGAAGATAATATGTTGTTTTATAATATTTTATAAAGTGCAATTCATTTAAATTGTTCCACCCTGAATACATTAGTAAATTATCTAACTGATCTACATTTTTTTTTAAACTTCGAATTGCTTTTGAATGGAAAATCACAGAAAATAGTAAAAAACAAAAGTTGACAAGTTTTAATGAAAACATTAAAAATAAATAGTGATAGCTAAAAATTTTTTATTAAAGTATAATTTTGAAAAGTATCTAAGGACACGTATGTCTTGTGTTCTATATTTATAGAAAATAAAAAATTAACATATATGCATTAACATCTGTAACAGATATTATTATAATACAACAGATGTATTATAATAATATAATAAAATTTTTATAATTTTAAAATTAACTAAACATTTCCCATATTATAACAAATAATATTTTACAAATTTCAAATGAGCGTTTTAACAGATTCATACTGATAGCCGTACTTGATTATCATTTATTTAAAATAAATAAGATTTTGTTTAGAAAAATTTATTTCTTAGATTATCTTCAATATCTTTAGAATATTATTGTTGATTTTAAGTAGAAAAATTAAAATATTTACTCAGTAATAAATAAAACCCTAAATCCAGAAAAATATTCGAAAACAATGTAAGGAAATATATAAACTGAAACAAAAGTTGTAGTATTTTTAAATATTCATATTTAAGAAATAATTTAACTTAGATTTTTTCACAATTTTGACCAAATTTGCACATGTAAAATATTTTTTATACCTTTTCTGTATGTATAGCCGCAATGTATTGTCAAAGCTCTCACTTGAGGATCACATTTATCTCTATGTGTATTTTAAACCTTATAATTTTATACTTACTAAAAATATTATAAAAATAAGGGTATATCATGTGAATTATTAGGTACTAAATAGCATTTTTAGAAATTTTTTTTTAAGAGTAAGTTTAAAAATGTGTCTTAGTTATTAATATATAATCTAGATGCAGAGGTTGCCTTTTAACTTCCTAAGGTTAGACTAGATTTCTAAGTTTAGGGTTAGGCATTAATTTTACTAGTAATAGTTAGAATTAATTTGTCAATTAACTTATCAAAAAATATATATTTCCAAATTAACTATTGACTTTAAATATTGGATTTTAGCTTCGATGCGAAGCTGAGAAGGTATTGGTTTTACTAAGATGTGTTTTTTTTTTTTTTTTTTTTTTTTTTTTTTTTTTGTCTCTGTTACCACTTTTTCTCAGCTCTCACCGAACCGATTTCTTTCAATGATACGTCAAAAGATCACAAATCGTATCTAGTCGAAGACATTACCCTTAAAAATTGAAAAAAATTCCCTCGTTCCCCGTAAATGGGGGAAACCTCCGAAAAAATTACAAATTTAAAAATGGCAAATTTTCGAAATTTTTTCAATTTTTTTTACTAAAAACTGCCGTAACTTTTTTAAAAATAAACATATCAATATAATTCTTTTTTTTATAGATGCATGATGTCATTACCTATCATTTGGTATAATTTTTTTATAAATTTGACTTTTTACCTGCCCACAGGGGGGGATTTAAAATGACAACTTTTTTACAAAAAATTAATTTTTTCAACTTAACTTTTGAAAATGTTCCGGAAGGTCTGACACTTTTATATATATCTTAAATTAAAGCTAATGTAATATGCTTTATCATGAAAAAAAAAAATTTTGGACTTTATCTTATCTTCATGGTGAAAATGGCTACCGAATGCTATTTTTGTGTGAAAATTTTCGATTTTGTATTTTCCATTTTTAACTTTATTATGCTATAACTTTTTGAAAAATGTATGAATCATTACAATTTTTTTATATATATAGATCTATATATAGATCTTTCATTCGACATACTGTTTTTTTAAATCGGACCATTTCCCTAAATACAGGGGGGATTCAAAACATAAAAATGCATATAGAAAGTAGAACTTTTTCAACGTAACTTTTGAAAGTGTTCCGGAAGGTCTGACACTTTTATATATATCTTAAATTAAAGCTAATGTAATATACTTTATTATGGTAAAAAAAAATTTCGGACTTTATTTTATCTTCATGGTGAAAACAGACATTAAACTTAATAAAAAAAATACGATTTTTGTAAAAAAATTCTTTTTTATATTTTTAACTTTATAATGCTATAACTTCTCGAAAGATGTATGGATCAATATAATTCTTTTTTTTGTAGATGCATGATGTCTTTACCTATCATTTGGTATATTTTTTTTATAAATCTGACTTTTTACCTGCCTACAGGGGGGGATTCAAAATGACAACTTTTTCACAAAAAATTAATTTTTTTAACTTAAATTTTGAAAATATTCCGGAAGGTCTGACACTTTTATATATATCTTAAATTAAAGCTAATGTAATATACTTTATAATGGTAAAAAAAAATTTCGGACTTTATTTTATCTTCATGGTGAAAACAGACATTAAACTTAATAAAAAAAATACGATTTTTGTAAAAAAATTCTTTTTTATATTTTTAACTTTATAATGCTATAACTTCTCGAAAGATGTATGGATCAATATAATTCTTTTTTTTGTAGATGCATGATGTCTTTACCTATCATTTGGTATATTTTTTTTATAAATCTGACTTTTTACCTGCCTACAGGGGGGGATTCAAAATGACAACTTTTTCACAAAAAATTGACTTTTTCAACTTAAATTTTGAAAGTGTTCCGGAAAGTCTGACACTTTTATATATATCTTAAATTAAAGCTAATGTAATATACTTTATCATGGAAAAAAAAAATTTCGAACTTTATTTTATCTTCAAGGTGAAAATGGCTACCAAATGCTATTATTGTGTGAAAATTCTCAATTTTTTTTTTTACATTTTTAACATTATAATGCTATAACTTATTGAAAAGTGTATTGATCAATATAATTTTTTTATGGGAAATACTATTTTCTAATAATCTCTTTTTTATTCTACATACTTTGTCTTAATCAGGATATTAATAAGGAACTAGCAGTTTATGAAGCTTTTGGAATAATCCACCAATTTTTTAAAATTAAACACTATCTAAAGATTTGCATCGAAGTGTTTTTTTTTTGATAGTGATTTTAATCACTGTCAGATATCATTATACTTGATCCAACTATGCCACGTAACCACTGTGCCGCGACCCCCCTGTGCTGGGTTTTTAATATTGCAATTGTTACATGTTAAATTTTCATATTGATATTTTTTTTTTTTGTCATGGAAATAAATGTTATTAATATTTTAAAATTCAATATTTTTTTAAATAATTATTTTATTAAATAATTTACAAGCCTAACACTACTTTAAATATTTACTTAATGGTAAAAATTTATAGTGAACTTTTGTACTGGTAGCTGCTATATGTTGACATTATATTAACTATATATTTATGTCCAATATACATTATGCTGTCGTACAAAAGTAAAGGTTTTATTTAAATGTTATATGAGAGGTATATATTTGTAAACCTGAGTGTTGGGAAGTCAACCTTTTACCTTTATATTCTTATTTTAATTTTGATTTAAGAATATTACATTGGTAGATAGAGCTAAGAAACTTATGGAGATATTTTTAGTTTTGAATTTTTATCTTGGCGATTAAAATTTCGTATTGTTTCAAAGTCCTAGCGCCGAAAAACCTTGGGCCTCTACAATACTGCCCTAATTAATACCTACTTAGACATAAACATTTTTCATCTAGTTTTGGCCGATCTCAAGGACGCTTTAAAAAACTATGTCAAATAAAAAAAAAGTTATTAAAAAAAGATAAGGGTACATCGTTAAAGTTATACTTCTGGTAAAAAAATATCTTTAAAATCTTTAACATATAAAAATAAGTAGTAAATTTTATGTTACGAAATTTATATTGCTATAACTTTTTGAAAAATGTATAGATCAATATTATTATTTTTTTATAAATAATTCTTATATATCCCTTTGATCTGATACACTTTTTTTTTTGATTCGATCATATCCCTTTATACAAGGGGGGTCAAAACATTAAAGATGCGTATTGAAACTAGGACATTTTTAATATAATTTTTGAAAGTGTTCCGGAAATACTGACATTTTTATACATATTTTATTTTAAAGCTTACCTGACAATACCGGACAAGGGGAGTACACTGATATTCATAAATATTATATAAATCAAATTGATATAGCATAGGAAGTTATACTTATTTAAATTTTTTTGAATTTTTTAAATCGAGAAAGATAACTTTGAAATTTGAACTAGCTTAAATTATCATTTTTTTGAGATAATAGAAGGGACGGAGGTTGCCGAGTTGGTAACACATGTGAAGTATGCGCTTGGGTTCAAACCTGCATATGGTAAAGAATTTTTTGCATTTTTTTCTTAATTCTTTTTAAGTTAGAATAAATTTTCAACTCATTTGATTTTTATCTCATTTAGATTCAATAATTTCAATAAAGGTCAAAGATCCCATCACTGTAGTCGCCCCTCGCTAGAAGAAATTTATTATTCATATTAAAATTATTTTACTTAATTTTAGGTTTTAGCTTCGATGCAAAGCTGAGAAGGAATTTTTTTTTGTTTATCATTTATTTTCTCTGCTCTCCTTTTTCAAACATACGTAAAGTATTTTTTTTACTCTATTTGTGTGTGCTACTACTAGACTATAATATTCAAAATTTGTTGGTAAAATGTTGCTATATAAATAATTTCTAAAAAAAATGGTTGTTAGTTTCTCCTGAATTAACAATGGATTTTTAGATCTTTCAAGCAACTTTTTTTTGATTAGTTATTTTAGTTAAAGTAAATCATTGTTATTAATTCAGTTCATATTTAAATTGTAGAATATTTTTAAACGCCAAAAGTTACTATGAAATGATAACTATTATTTCTACTTAAGTTATCTATTACAATAAAAATGCAAAAAAATATTGAGCTTTTCTGATAAATTTACTATAAGTAGTAATTATAGAACTTAAACTTTTAAACTTGCGAATTGAGCTAAAAGTTATTGTAATAAATTAATTTTTTTTATTATAAACTTTCACAAAAATCAACATTAAAGGATTAAAAAAATAGGTTAAATATGTAATTTAAATTAAAAATAAGGAAATTTCTTTATTTTTAACATATTTAAATAATTTTATTTTTATGTGTAAATACTTATTTTTTAATAATAAGTAATAAGATTAAAACTCAGAAGTGATAGAAAAAGTCTAATTGCACATTTGAAAACAGCGC